AGCAGTAAGATAAAATGCTTTGTGAATACGGCCCCAGGTCAGCATTGCGAATGAGATTTTATCTCAATGCTTTTATCTGGTTAAATAAAAAAATAAAAAATGCAGACTGAGAAGCAAACAACTTCTTCCTGCAGAATGACCCTATAATCATATTGGACTGCATTCATTTTAGATCAAAAATAATTGAACAGTACTGCTGGAGAGAGTGGGACTGTTAGTGTTCACACCTCAATAAAAAAATATTCCTTCTATCTGTACAGCATCTTTCAATCTCCATAGTTTTGGCATGGGTGGAGCTTAGTGGAAAGAATATAGTGCCTAAATGTTTGAACTGTCTCTTTAGAGATTTAAATGATCAAATCACTTTTAAAAACTCACTTTTTTAGAATTACTTTGATTTTTTCTTTAAAAATATGTATTTATTATTTTCTATCACTTTAACTCTGTGTTTTTATGCTTAGATGCTGTTGTTTAGTTCACTTGCTCTTGGTGTATTTTTTATGTGAGAGCACTTGTTTCGAAAAGGTGCTATATAAATAAAGTGTATTATTATTATTAAAATGATTATTAATGTAACTGTGTCCCACTCACTCCAGCAGCACTGCATGTGTCTGCCTTAGGTGTTCTGGACTGAGAAAGATTCCCATCATTTCAGATTTCCACTTAGTGTTGAATTTACCAGAGAAGAACTTGGTGCCCTTCTCAAAGAGGCGGATGTTGTTGTAGAGGCTGCTGATCTCCTCCTGCAGGTCCTTCATGCTCTGCTTCTTGTTGGCCCTGGACGGAGCGCTGCTGGAGGACAGGAAGACCGAGCGCAGCACCTCCTGGTACGCTTTGTTCAGAGGCCTGCAGAGACACTCAGTGAGAACTGGGCTGTGTGGGCAGGGAAACGTACTCCCAGAGGTGGTACTTGAGTAAAAGTAGAAGTACCAGAGTGTAGGAATACTCTGTTACAGTAAAAGTCCTGCATTCAAATGTTACTCAAGTAAAAGTAGAAAAGTATTATCATCAGAATATAGTTAAAGTAGCGACAGTAACAAGTAGCAAACAAGTATTATCATCAGAATATAGTTAAAGTAGCGACAGTAAAAGTAGTCATTGTGCAGATTGGTCCATTTCAGAATAATATATACGATATGTTTTATAATGATTGATCATGAAAGTGTTCTCAAAGCTGGTAAAGGTGCAGCTAGTTTGAATGACTTTGTATACTGCAGGGTAGCTTGTGAATTTACTCCAGGTGGAACTAAAGTCTGATTTAACACTTGATTACATTTCACATCATTCATCCATATCTGTGAAGTAACTAAAGGTATTAAATACATGTAGTGGAATAGAAGTACAAAGTTGCAACACATTGAAAGACTGAAGTACCTCAAAACTGTACTTAAATCTACTTAGTTTAATTTAAACTATTGCTTACTTCAGACATAGAGCCTTAATGATCATTTTATGTGCAAAACAAACTTTTTAACAATCTCAAACCCTAACATTAAGGTATAAATATTACCTATTGAATGCTGCTACTCATTTTTTAATTCATTTTTTAGCCACTTATTAGTCTGTATTTTGTATTTGTCTTTCCAATGTGTGCCTTGTCTCTATATTTAACATTCTAGTTACTTTTTTATTGATCTGCTTTGTCACTTTTGCTGTGACATTGTACATTTCCCCGGTGCAGGACTGATAAAGAAGTTCTGATTCTGAGTGTTACCTGACTAAATGCTCCGCCAGCTCGCAGAGGATTTCTTCGGGGCAGTCGCTTACTCTCTCCTCTAAAACTGCCACGATGTCCTCCTGGGCCATGAAGGGGGCTGCAGTCTGTTTACTGCGATCTTGGAGAGGTAACACACAGGCTAATTAGTCCCCCAGGGACACTACAGCTGCCTCTGTCTCCCATGAAAAAAGCAGAACAACCCAGAGGAGAGATTTCTATCCCAGTAGCCTTCAGACTCTTGTTACAGTGAGCAGGCTTAATGTGCACACAGAGACATGTTGTCCCTGTAACAGGAAGTAGCTGTGTGTCCATGAGCGTACTTTGCTGTGAGGGTCCGGTCTCCTCATCGCTGTCCTCGTCTCTCCTCCCTTTCTTCTTGGTTTTACGGATGCGTATCTCTCTGGCGTTGCCTCCGCCGCCTGACTTCACACTGCCGCTGCCCTCTGGGAGACACACAGGCACATGATGTACAATCCACAAACAAATAACCTTCTTCTTATTAAATATCACCAGGGATGCTCTATATAATACAAATACTGATTTTGTAACTCCTTATTTCCAAATGTTGCTTTTTTTTTTAAGTACATAGTTTGTAGTTTAAGTGCACCTTAGGGAAAGAACTGCAAGGATATACAGTATTACATTACAGTGCTTCCCCTAGGTTTACTTCTTTGGGGGGGATGCTGCCTGAGCGTT